GTACTGATAAAAATACCCATGTAGATGTGGCAGGCACAGCTTGGGCATGTAGAGAGCTGTATATTATAGGTATCCTCTTGATTCAGGTGTCTAGGGCACTTTGCTATACTCATCTAAGCCGTATCTCGTTGTCTACACTGCTGTTTATACCCATACTAGCTGGGAGTCCATGTCTGTACTCTGTTCCGCTGTAAGTGTAGACGTACCGTAACATTTTAAAATAAGTTTTGTAGTGCTTTCCACTTGCAAACTGCATTCTAAACATTAATTAGTACCCAGAATATCCCTGCAAAGGAGCTGAGTGCCCCCTCCCCATTCTAAAAAATGATGAAAGAAATGACATAGAAGTCTGTGACCATAGCTGCTGGAACTAGAAGTGGAGGAGGGAGTGCCACATCCCCTAGCTTGAAGTGGTTTTCATTTTATATATATATATATATATATATAGGCTTTACAGTTCAGTTCAATGGATCTCAGCACCCCCACTGTACAAATTGTTCCAGATCCTCTGTCTGTAATTTATCAGGGCTCCAGAGCAAGTCCGTATTGGAAACCATATTATTTGTTTATTCAGTGTCTGCATATTATTCATATAAAACTGTAAGTGTGTGTGTGCAGATTTAGTATTCCAGCTCACATTTGCCCCAGTCTGGGTTCAGTACTCGGACATCAACATCTCTCTCAAGTATTGTATGGTGACTGGCTTCCTCAACATTCAGTAATGGTGGCGGTGAAGTTGTATCACTGAATCACCAACCCATGCATCCCTTTGAAAATATCCCTTGAATGTCCTGACAGGTCTGTGTAAAAATTGTTAAAACAATCTTAATCACATGGAGCACTCATGAAATTGGTAAATGAATTGTTAATCCGTATTGTCATTTCCACTTATTTAAAGGCGAGATAACGTGAAATACGATACTGCAGGTTGTTCTCCTTCCCCCCCCCCTATTTGTTTTGTGTATTGTTGGGTCCTCTTCGTTAGTTTATTTTCCTTTTGGGTGGAGGGGAGGTTTTGGACAAAAGAGGATGTTGGTTTCCTTGCATAGCCAGTTCCCTTTGTCCATCATGACCTGGAAGAGAGGCTTACAGGCAGAGATAAATGGGTCTTTACACACTTTCCAGGCATCCCCCTCTCCTGAGCTCACCGCTTTCCTCCTCATGACAGATAATAACCTTCTTCACATTGTTGCAAAGAGGGTGACCCCCACAACAGCTGTCCCGGGGCACATGCAGCAATGCAAACATTTAAAATAACCACCCCCTCCACCAAACTAAACCAAAACATTTTAACCTTAGACTGTAAAATTTAGATAGGTTTTTTTTTTTTTCATTCAGTGGTGTTCTTTTAACTGACAATTGTATAAGTCTAAAGCAGTTGCAATGTGTCATGCAATTTATAGATCCCAGTGCCTGCCATAAAGTGTTTTATGATAGCTGCACTCTGTGTTATTAGTAGCTGTCTTTTTCTGCAGCCATCGGTGTTTGATAATAGTCTTAAAACACCCAAAATTACTTACCTGCAAGCAACATTCCAGATAGTCCCTGCTGACAGTTTGAATAAGTTTAGTGCCCTTTTGTTGTACTTTACCTTCAAAACAAACTGATTGAACCATCAATAGCTCCTGGAAGCTGACAGAGGCATGTCATCTGGGCTAACCTTCTGATAGTAGGTTATCTGTGGGAGTTAACCTCCCTGCATTGTTAACTGAAATGTTTTATGTACTATGCAACTTTAGGATACTGCTGTGATAACCTTAGTAACTAAGTCATTCATCAGGGTAAGAAGATTTTGTGCAACAAATAGCCCTGGATAAAATTTACAAGGGTTGAATTGATATTGTAGTGTTCATTCCGTGGCTTTAGTAATCTTTTCTAGAATTTTTATGGCAAATTGGTATTATGCTTAGGCTGAAGTTGTATCTTGAAATGAAGTATATTGCTTACTAAAATATACCCTGGCAGCCTTAGCCTTAAATGATTGTTTTATTAAAAACCAGTGTAATTATATCAGTAAAATTAAGGTGGAATTTAATTTTGGCTCTTTTTAAACGGCGTGATAATTACTCTACTCCTAATGATCGATAGCTTTTAAAATTCTGTTACAGATTTCCTTTGTCTTTTATTATCCCCTCAAGAATATCTGCCCCACTAGGAACTCTGAAAATACTTCTGACACACAATGGGCTGTTTATTTTCTGATTTTTTTTTTGTTTTTTTGTTTTTAAGATAAGGCCCCAATTCTGTAATTTAAAAAAAAAATAAAACAAAACAGGGATGAGAAAAGAAGAAAAATGCTCCCATAGAAACAACTCTGTTACAAGTTTAAGTTCTCTTAAAATGACAGAGACTGACGTTTAGGGCTGTAATCCAAAGTCAGCAAAAATGACAGGGCTGTCTTCATCTGTTGTCAGTTTTGTTGCTGCCTGCTTTTTGATGGCATCTTTCATTCCATCATTAAACATTTGCTGATTTTCTAATACTGATGTTTTCTTCACCTGAATATTCATCTTTTCTCACCCTACACTTAGTGGGTGTCTTTGCTCATTTGGAGTTTCACTCCTGACATATTATTTCCTTCTGCACTTGTCTTCATTTGAAAGAATCTGTTGTCATCGGAGCTTTTCCACCGGTAACACAAGATGGATGTATTCTCTTCCAGTGAAAGAAAAAGGGCAGCAGAATGTCAGAAAGGACTGGAAGGGCAGCTGGTGAAGTCGGGAGATGTTTGAGAGTAGAGCGGTATTTCTAACATCTAGCTAAACAGAACACATTGTCTGTCTCGGGACATGTTCTACTTAGCAAAGTTACTTCTCATCTTGCTTAGTTTATTATTATTATTTCACTGAATTACATAGTAAAATTGTAGACCGATTTAATGTGTATCAGTGATCATACTCAATTCACTTGTTTAAACATTTACGAGGCCATTGCCTCAGAGGAAAGGTGTACGTAGCTGAAAGTCTGCTTTTGTAGAAAGGTTAAATAATTAATAAAAACATGAATGTGATGTGCACAAACTCTGTTGCTCCCACAACAAATGCGGAATTGCTTTGAGGTAATCTTAGCATCCTAGAACCGCGAGGGTGAGAGAGGACAGCAAGGGTCATCTAGTCTTCCCCCCACACCATGACGTTGAGTCTAACCAATCGAAGGTAGATGGCTAGTCTGCCCCTTTTTGAAACCTCTGGTGAAGGAGGTTGCAGGACTGAAAAGTTCTTGAATATAACTCGACCCTTTTAAAATAATAAATCTGTTTTTCTCTTTAAAATACAGTCAGATGCATTGTGCAAGATTTTCGGGGGTGTCACTTCTGGCTATGTGTGAGTTCTTTCAAATGCCAGAGGGAGTCACTATGAATACCAGTTTGACTGACTGACTGACTGATTGGGTGTTTATGGGAAGCAGCTAGGCATGGGGAATATTATCAATCACCTTTCCACCCCCTGCCAGGAAAGAGCCTGGCACTTCCTCCCTTTGCAGAGTCTGTTTCCCATCTGTTTGACCAAATGTAAATAACAGGTACTTGAAGTAGTCAGATATTATCACTTTCTGTGCTTGTGTGTTTGGGTTTGGTTTTGATTCAATGCCAGGGTTTCTACTTCTCCATGTAAGAGCCCAATGGTACTTTTCAGGCAAAAGAAGCATTTGTCATCTGATGAAAACATGTGGTTACAGAGAACTAGCAATGGGTGTGGATAAAAACTTGCAGTCTGAACTCCTGTCCAAAATTTGTGTTCACACAAGCGGGTGCATGCATGCTTTGGAATCTGAACCAGTGTCTAAATTTCATGAATAGGGTCCATATTTGTAACAAGACAAAACCGGAACCATTGCTCCAAAACGTGGCTATGTCAAAATTCAAATCTTGAAGGTAGATCCAAATTTTATTAATCAGTACCATCTCCAGATAAAGGCTTGTTTTAATAAGACTCTTAAACACCCTTTGATACACAGCATACATCACTATGTACCTTGAATATTATTTGCAATGCAGCTGACTTTGTAGGGCAACGATGGGCAACATAGGCTAGTGAGTGGGCTGCATGAGTGGGCCACATGATGGTCATAGCCACGATGGTCTCCTTAGTGGGACACAAGATGGTCATAGCCACGATGGTCTCCCGGGACAGGTAGTTTCGCTATCTGCACTTGCGTACCTAGCATTTGTGGGGTGCGCTGATTGAACTATAGCAGCACTTTGATTGGATGCAAAGGGAGCACATGACTCACTCAGTCAATATTGTATGTAATCAGCATGCACGTCACTCCACCTAAACCTTGGTTTATGTCCATGTTCCTATAATAAAAGCCTACGTGGATGGAAACCAGTGGAATTTGGCTACCCTGTGCATGGGCAATGGTAAACAAAAGGTTTCACAGGACACACACGCAGAACTCTGATGGGCCTCAAGGTACCCTCCACTGCTCTAGGATGTGTGGTGGAAAGCTCAGCCCTGCTGTGGCTAATGATGATGATTGTTGCATTTGTAGCAAAAGTCAATAACAGTTTGAAGGCGAATTTGTGACTACGGGCCTAAGTATTACAGAACAGCATAGCAGGGGGAGATTTATTTTTTTCATGTAACTCCACCCCTAAATTTTCCAGCAGAGTATCAGATAACATTACACTTAACAAGTGTAAAAAAAAAAAAATGGAAGCAGTGTTTATCATCATTCGACTCACAACATCTGACTTATATTCTCAGAAAGCTGCCTTCTTCAATTTCACCCATTCATGGTTGTGCTGTACATCATAGTAATGCTTTATTGGGGTATGCAGCTACAGGAGAGGATCTGTGATCCACTTAGCGTTGTATTCCTGAAGGGGAGTTACGATCAGTTTCTTGACATAAAGTAGGCTAGATTATAGGGAGTGGGTGAAAGTTTGGGGAAGGAAAGGTCATTGCAGTTGTATATTTTATAAGTTGTATAATTTGTGAAGATGAATTTGTATGTCAGTGTGGATTTTAACCCAAACGTTTTGTTGTTTGTTTTAGGTATTTTGTTCTACACAAACTGATCAACCTGAAATTTCTTGACACTCGGAAAGTAACCAAATGGGAACGCGAGGAAGCCTTGTTACGAGGTGCCTTCATGAAAGTGGTGAAACCCAAGGATGCTAAGGTAGGAAGCAAAATGGAGATTGGAACATTCATTGATCTCATGGGCCTACCTGCTTTGCAAATCAAAGGAAAAGGAACAGTGCATGCCTGCATTAAACAATGATATACAGGCAGTCCCCAGGTTACGTACAAGATAGGGACTATAGGTTTGTTCTTAAGTTCAATTTGTACGTAAGTCGGAACTGGCTCCAGATTCAGCCGCTGCTGCTGAAACTGACCAGGGGCTGACTACAAGAAGCCCTAGGCAGAGTTGCTCTGCCTCCAGCTTCCTGGAATCAGCCACTGATCAGTTTCAATAGCGGCTGAATCAGGTTTGTTCTTAAGTTGAATTTGTACGTAAGTCGGGTCCCCCAGGTGTCCCCGATTCAGCCGCTGCTGAAACTGCCCAGCGGCTGACTACAGGAAGCCCGAGGCAGAGCTGGTCGCCCCCCCCCCAAAGCAGACCAGGGAGACCCGGAGCAAAGCTGCGGGGGCGGCGGGGTCCCGTGCCTCTGCGTCTTTGTTCCGGGTGTCCCAGGTCCGCTGGGTGGGGTTCCCAGCAGACCAGGGACATACCGAGCAAAGCCGCAGAGGCGCGGGACCGTGCTGCCTCCAAGGCTTTGCTCAGGGTGTCCCTGGTCTGCTGGGGTCCCCCCCAGCAGACCAGGGACACCTGGAGCAGCTTTTCTCGCCCCGGAGGACACGGTGGCGGGACCACTGTGCGTCTTGGTGGTCCCGCTGCCCGCGAGTTCCGGGGCGAGAAAAGCCCCGTTTGTAAGTGCGGATCCGACATAAGTCGGATCCGCGTAACTCGGGGACTGCCTGTACTTTAAAACAATTATTCTGAAAGTGTGGTTAAAGCTATGTCTAAGCAATGGACAGAGACATTGTAGGCCTCAGTATTACTTATTGAGTTATGTGTGGGACAAAACAAAATCTTAATCTGTATTTTACTGGTAAATCTGATAAAGGGACTGTGGTTGTTGCATCATAGTTGAAATGCTGGTTTGAACCATAACTAGCCTCCCTCCCGTTCCCCTGCCCATGTTACCAAGAACAAAAGAATATTTTTGCACTTTATAAAGATTTATAACAACTCCATGATATGTTGTTAGGGAAGAAGAAAATTTCTCTGACACTTTGTCCCCTGCCATGCATGTTGTGTACAGGTGTCAGTCTCAGAGTTTACACCTATGGTGTTTATTGACCTTTAGTGGATACAATGTAATTTAATGTGGTGTCATATTAATGAGTGGTGTGGATGTTGGAGAGACAGTTTCTCTAATCTGATTCAGACTCATGCTTTCATCATTGATCAGTACAAGTTAACAGCACCTTTAGTATAGCAGTATATTTGTAGCATCACAAATACTTCTTGAAATGATTAGCTATCTAAAACTCTTTTCAAGTTTTTAATCTGGTAGGTTGTTGTATGCTGATCTCTCCAATACATCACTAATAATGTATTTCAGATTTCCAATAATGCTGAATAATAGTGCAGCAGCAATGGAACAAAACCTCTATTTGATGGTATAAATGTTACTAGATAAATTCGTTATCGCCAGTACAATTGTAGCAGATGGCAAATTAATTCAGATTGATTCATTTTATAACTACTAAAATGCTAGCAGTTCTTCTTAGTCAAGCGTTGGTTTGACACATTGTTTACTAGTACCTTTAGCTATTTTAGCTTTTGTAATACAGTGTGTAAATGAATGAAATCATTTATTTCTAAGCTCTTGGGAAAGGCTTCCTCATAGCATATTCTTTACTAAATCCTGAGAAATTCAACTGTTGAAATGTGTAAATTATGTTGTTTATGTCATTTGCGTTTTATAATTATTTTCTGTCTACTACTTTTAATAGGCCATTATTAGGGACCTTTATTCTAGTGTTATTAACAGTTAAATACTTCATTTACAAATCTATCATTTGCATGAGAAAGTAGCTGTTTTTCAAATTTGCACCTACTTTATTGGATGGTACTTACTTGTTTTTGCTCTTAAACCAACTGCAAAAATAAGGTGCTTCTCGCACACAGGATCCAAACTTTATCCTGTGTATCTGAGTGCATGTTCGCCCCCCCCCTCCCCCCATGGAAGTTCAGACATAATATTTATGCATCTTTTGCATAGGTGAAAATTCTTGTAGATGCAATAGCTGTGTATATTAAGAGACAAACTATATACATACAAATACAGTGGAAACCATTAAAAGGAACGTTTCCACACAATTTCCACAAAAATGGTACTTTAGAATGGGAAATAACTGTAGCATTATAGAAATAAAGGGTGAAAATTATTGAAAAATGTGGCTTTTTAGTAGCCACCATTGTGTGTATATGTCAGTATATACAGTACATTCCAGTTCATTTGAATGACCTGGGGGGTATCTGAAAGTTTCAGATAACTGGGCAGTCACATAAATGGAAGTGCTATCAATGGTACAGTACTGCATGGCAGGCACACTGTGCATTTGGATAACTAGGATTTTACAAAGGGAATTAATTATAGTGGACTCGTGTGGGAGTGAGTATCGAATCATAGAACTGGAACAGACCTCAAGAGTTTATCTAGTCCCCTGCATCCCTTTGTCTAGCCTGCTCTTAAAAATCGATAGAGATGGAGATTCCACAGCCTCCCTGGGAAATTTATTCCCGTGCTTAGCCATCCTCACAGTTAGGATGATTTTTCTGACATCCAGCCTAAACCTCCCTTGCTGCAATTTAAGCCCATTGCTTCTTGTTCTATCCTCAGAGGTGAAGGAAAACATTTTTTCTCCCTTTTTCCTACTAACAATGTCTCCTGTCAGTCTTCTCCATACTAAACAAACCCAGTTTTTCTCCCACATATGTAATATTTTCAAGATCTTGAATCATTTTTGTGCATCTTCTCTGCTCTTTGCCAATTTGTCTGCATCTTTCTTGAAATGTAGTGCCCAGAAATGAACACGATACTAGTGTTGAGGCCTAATAAGTATGGAGTAGAAGTGGGGGGCGGGGGGGAATCACTTCCTGTATCTTGTTTACAATTGTTCTTCTAATACTCCCAGGGTCATGATCACTTTTTTGTTTTCTCAACAAGTGTTCCACTGCTGACTTATATTTTAGCTTGTGGTAAATAGTGGAATTGGAATGTATTGTAATGGTTTGAATAAATGTCATATGGAAAATTTTTCTGAGTATTGTAGTATACTGAGCCTGGTAGACTTATTTTTCATAACCAAATCAAAATTGTAGTTAGGTTCCTTTCGTTATGGTAAGCAGGAGATGGAAAACATTCAGAGACAAAGAGCAGAGTGATGTGTCATTTTATTCTTTCCATAAAATATTTGGAAGAGCAGAATGACCCACCAAGAACAATACAAGAAATGAGAATAATGTCAAGACGCTTTCATCCAACTAACTTTTTATTTACACAAATGCAAAAGCATCTGGCAATCACCAGGCTTAGCCAAGTACTAAATATTTTACATTGTATGAATTCCAACACTTTCATTTGTCTGTTTTTTTATTTTTTTTAAGAAAACACTGCGCTTTCTTGTGCTTTGCTTCATTTCATCCTTTGTTGTTTAAAATGCATCTGTTTGCAATGTGATTGTCTGATAGAGAGATGCAGCCATTCATTAGAAAACAGTTTAACGTTACAATGCCACTGTTTCATCTCCCCATGTAAAGTGAGTGAAACTTCATTACTCTGTGATGTTTATATTTTCCTCTGTCAAAATATTGAAGGTTGTATCAGGCTTGATTTTAATAAAAATCTTGTAAGCCTGGTTGGATAAGGGACATGGAGCTAGATGAGGAAGCCTCATTTAATGACCAAACGGTGACCTCATTTTCACTGGCATAAGTGTAGATCAAAGTGGAAGATGCCTGTCCAGTGTGAAGTCTGTGGCTGGGCAGGACAGCACTTCTCATCAGCCCGACAGCTTAAGAATACGGCCGTCAAAATTGCTTAATTATGTCCCAGCTTTGTAATTATTCATCCCTGCTCCTGCAAAGAGCTCAGATGTCATTTCTTTGACATAATTATTTAAAGCTGTACCCTCCTTCTGTTTGTTGCTTGACTATGAATTTCGCTACCAAGTGTTTCATCTTTAAGGACTTAAGAATGCAAAACAGGGCCGGGTTAAATGGCCACAGTGGAAAATGCTGCATTTGAGTCCCTCTATTTGTACATTGCTTATCAGCATGAGTAGACAAAATGAATGGATGACACATTAGAAGACGGGGCATATTCATTTAAAAAATACCCCTATCTGCTTATTTAACTGTTCATCCAATTTATATCATATTGGTTAAAATTGTATAGATCATAGACATGCACACAGAATGTATATATGTATATACGTATAAATTTGAGTTCATAATATATATAAATAAAAAACTACATTTTAGGATAGCAGGCATAAATATTATGTTTATTTTTCACATCGTGCACGTTTTACTATTCCAGCAAATTACTGGTGAAACCAGTGCTGTTTGTTTTCCTTACAACATTTTTTACTTTGCCTACTTTTGTTAGTATAGCAAAATTGAGAAAATTGGTAATGTGAAGAGGATGCATGAGAATGAACCCCATGATTTGTTGGACCAAATACTCCTCTGTCATAAATGAGCGTAGCCCCAGTGAAGTGACATCCCTTCTATAGAGCTAAACCAGATTATTCCAATTGATCATGCAGCTCATTATGTTCTAAAGATTGAAATTCATTTATTTTAAAATAGCTTTTATTTTGTGATTATTTTTCAAATATCTTACTCTTCCCACTGTAGTTCCACTATTTATAGTTGTGAAAGCTGACCCTGATTTTTTATAAATACCTAAGGTTATGTCTACACATGCATCCTAGTTCGAACTAGGAATGCAAATGCAGGCATTCAAAATAGTCAATGATGAAGGGATTTAAATATCCCGTGCTTCATTAGCATGATCTCGCCGGCGTGCTAGTTTGAATCACAGGAACCAGGAAGTGTGCGCCAGGGCGTGTTAGTTCGAACCAAGCCCCTTGGTTCAAACT